TTCTGGCTAATTTTTAACGCTGGCAAGTGTTATTGCAATGGACAACCCCCCCCCCCCCCCCCCCCCCCCCCCCCAGTCCGAACTTTGACAGTACGACACCTTTGCATGAACGTTTTGAGTGTTTTGAAGAAACTAAAGAGCAGTTGGGGCAAGAAGTTGGTGGAGAACCGCGGATCGGCAGTTAGTACCGCGTGTGCAGAAGAGCGACAGCGTGTTATAGCTTCAGCCGCTTCAGTCAATCTCATAAAGTATCCGAAACAAGAAATCACCGTAATAGTGTAACACCTAGCGATCAGCAACGGGTGGGTGATGTCGTCAAGCCTGCTACTCGACTTATACAAAAAACAAAAATGGTTAGTTCTGGAGATTGCTCCGCTCGCCGCCCATAAAGTGTCTGCGTGAACTTTCGGAACTACTGCACTTCATCTTTACTCATATATTTTATGTAGAACTCGCTGTAATGTACTATTTTTTCTTGTTTATGAATTATTCCTACTGCAGCAAAAAAGCGAAAACATTGTTGCTCTCTTTTTTTACACACACCAAAAATAATAACCGACATTTTTGCGCTGTTTGCGTGTGCTGGCTACTGCTTGGCTACTAAAGAAAAATCCTCGGCCCCAGTTGACTACTTTTTTGGCAACTTGTAAAATTTTTTTGGCTTGTTTTTTTTTTTCAAAGACTTGACAACCCTGGTCGTGTGCGCGCGCGTCCCGCGGTCAACCGCTCTCTTCCGTGCTTGTCGCCTATCGCTGTGCGAAGACGACGCATCACTTTCGGGTTTGAAGTTATTTTATAGAGCCCTTTGAGCGATCTCAAATTCTTTGAAACGGTGTGAGGACAAAGAGAACACGCAGTGAACTTTTCTGAGCGACGAGAACGGCCACGTCGCGTCGGTTCGGCGTGAAAGGCTGTCCCGGCGGAGTCACAGCCGAAACTACGGTACACAGACACCAAACCCAGTTGTTTTGACCGTTTGACGATTTCCTTTTCGAAATCTGAAAGGTCGTCGGGCACCTAAAAAAAAAAAAAAAAACACTTCGTCCGATTCCTCGACTTACCGATCACCCTCTGCTCCATGCGTCGAACGCCGCCATGTTTACCGAGGGAGGGTAAGAAGCTAGGAGGCGACATCACACCGGACTCCGATTTTCGGTATTCCAAAAAGAATGACCGTACAGTGCGTTCGCAATTGCGTTAAAAAACATATTTTGCGAATGGCGTTATTAAATATAATGGAAACGTCGCTTACAAAGCTAAATTTCATAATCGATTACGTCATAAATAAAAAGAAGCGAGGAGGTGAGAAGGAGAGAAGGGAGCCAAAGATTAAAAAGCCTGCGCGCGCGTAGGGAATTTTTTTTAGTTGTGGTGTTTTTTTTTTTTTGTTTGTCTATGCCTACAACTTGCATCGTGTTAGAAAAGAACAAAAAATACGACCTTTCGGGCGTTAGTGTTCCTTTAAAGTTATAAATTTGATTAACCTTTAGTAGATCATATTTAATGAAAAGTGGCTCTGTCGGAATAACTGGAAACATGCCGTTGTAATTTTCAAATATTTGTACTATTCTTTTTTGTATAATGAGCAGCCTATTTTAATTCGTTGACGTCGTCGTGCGCCATACTAAAATACAGTAACATGGTTTTGAGTAGAACAATGAATAATGTATATATATGTTATTTTAGCCATATATGCATAAGGTTTCGTACTTTGTGTATGCCTCCAACGGCTTGCGATCGTTCATTGCTTAGCTTGTTCATGTGGATATTCCAATTGAGCTCTCGATTGAGCTCGAATTGAGCTCTCGGAGTATCCTTGACTCCCACTAGTGCCAGTAATCTCGTGTATAGTGAAAAACATTCCAACTAAATATCGTTGCACAGCTCCTTTAAAGGAGCGGTGCAACGATATTCAATTGGAATGTTTTTAGCTTGACACCAGCTTACTGGCACACCTGGGACTCAAGGATACTCACACGCAACGCCACCGGCCAAGAAACTCCTTTGTTGCGCTGTAATTTCAAGGACAAAAGCGATCATTTTCATTCAATCTCTTCTTTGCAAAATTTCATGACGTAACGTGGGGATCGCAGTACTCCCATATGACGATATTTGAATGCTGTTCATAGATTGGACCCGAGCATTGCGTGGCCACTCGACTTGGGCTCGTGACAATTGCTAGCTCGAAAAGCATTCGGGTAGTGGCCCGTGTCCAATCGCAGCAACGACGACAATAGCCGAGCCATAACAATGTCTGGAACTCAGCGCGTGTCCTGCGCTTTGCCAACCCCAGCGCGTGGCTATGATCAACACTGGCGGCATATAATCGGCTCCAGATCACGTGGCCGCTTGTTCTGGCTGCGAGTTGATGGGGTGAACGCTGCTCGTTTTTCTTTAATTTTTTTCTGGGACTTCTATTGCGTAGGGTGAAAAACGACCGCGTGTTTCATAGGTCATTAATGTCAGGTATCCGTTCTAAGCGGTATTTGCGCAAAGTACAAAAATTGTTGCATCGCTCCTTTAATAGCTGTTATATCGTTCATGTAAAGAATAAATAGCAAGGGTCCTAAAATGTACCCCTGTGGAACACCGTATTTAACTTCGTGTGCGTTCGAAAGAATGTTATTAGTGTTAACATACTGCACACGATTTTGAAGGTAGTTTTTTTATTCAAGTCAAGGCGACGCCACGTATGTCATATAGTTGGGGTTTTATTAGTATAACATATTGTATTGTGTCAAAGGCTTTCCTAAAGTCTAGGAATAACCCTAGAGTGTATAGCTTACTTTCAATTTTTTTTTATCTTTTACATTACGGAGTGCCTACTCTACATATCTGGATTATTGAAAGCCATGCTGGCATTTATATGTTACATTAAGTTTTGTAATCAATTTATCTAGTCTGGTATTTATAACCATATGGAATATTTTCTGAAAGTATGAGCATAACTGGTATCGGTCTGTAGTTCTGTGGCACTTGTTCCCCGCTTCCTTTATAAACAGGAGTGACCTTGGGAATTTTAACCTTGTCAGGAAATATCCCTGTTTTTTAATGTACGATTTAAGATGTACGACAGAGGATGGCATACTGTAAACGACTAAATTTTCGTAAGGACCTCATTTTCGCAAATTTCGCGAGTCACCTACAATTCGCAAAAAAATACACCCCGCGAACAATTCTGGCAATATGTGAATGCTACGGAAGCTACACTCGATTCGCGAAAATTAACCCAGGAATAATTTCAAATTTTCAGCTTTGGCCCCATTCGCGAAAATTTAGGACCGCGAAAATTAAGTCAATTATAGTATATGTTTCGAAACATATTTGATGGGCACTGGGTTGAGGTCGTCAGTATTAGCGGCAACATTATTTTTTTTTAAATTTTATTTATTAGTTTTTTTACTTCGAAAGGTGTTGTTGGTGGCAGCATTGTCGTGTTTGGCAATGAGGTTATCGCATTTGTGTCGCAATACCGTGATGTAGTTTCGTGTATTAAAGGTGAACCAATTTCTACGAAATGCTTATTCATTAAATTCGACATTTCCTGGTCACTCACGTTAATATCGTCAGCAGTTACACTTTGCGTTCTTTGGGAGCTTCTTTTTTTGCAAGTGATAGCGTATCGTTGTGAAATCTCGAAAAAAGCTTGTCGTCTTGTCCTACTCAAAGACAAGATAAAACTAACTAAAACTCAAAAGATCTCAATTTTCGTCGAGCCACAAGAGTACGCGAAGCGTATGAACGGTCGGGAACTAAATTACTGCGTTTCGTGAGCAAACATGAGACAACACATATGCTGCTAGCAGCTGTTGTACATACGTCGAAGGAAGCCGAGACCCAAGCACACACGTATCGCTCCCCGACGTCGGTTGGGCTCGAAGATGGCGAACTGGGGCGTGCCATGGCGTTCACGTGATGTGTCAGTGACGTAGTTGACGAGCTGTCAGGCAGGACACGCCCGTTGGCCAAACAATCCATGGGCTCCGCTTTTCGTCCGATGGCGCCCTCTGGTGTCAGCGATAGTTTCGAGGTAATCGATTTTTTATACCGATTTTAATAATTGAAATTGGCCACGCAATAATGTAATGTTTCTTTTCTTTTTTTACTAAGCTTAGAGCCCATAGATTGAGTTCTGTCCGTAAGCTATAGACTATCGCAAGCATGGGTTTAGTGCCCCTTTGAGACATGGTTCACACATTTGACAATGATCAAGTGCTTTGCGTTCCCCTGTAACCACTTAACCTACTGGAATCCTTGCGCCATCTATGCGGAAAGCAAGTTCGTCTGCTTGTTGCACAGAACTTGCGATGATATCAGAACGCCCAGCTCTGATTGGCGGATTGAGACAAATAACGGCTAGACCTCAAGGCGTCTAACATTACGGTGTACGCACTCTCCTTGCAATCAAAGGCAATCAAAAGATGGCGTCGTTCTGACGTCACCTTAACCCCTGCGCAAGAAGCAGACGACTTGCTCTCCGCATTGAGTAGAACCTGGAACACTTCCGAACCTGCAGGTGTATGCATTTTATAACTTTGTGTGCATCATTATTCTACCATGGGCTTGAAATAATTCTGACAATGTTATGAGCAACTCCTTCTCACAGACAGCGCGGAGATTTGATCTTGCAGACGCCGCAAACAGTCCAGTCTTGTTATAGGCACACGCACTGTTTATAAATTATTAACAAGCATCAAACCGGCATGCGGTCCTGTATCACTCTGCATGATGCACGTTAAAGACCCTAGGCTAGCGGTTGTACTGCACTGGCTAAATTTCTCATCCACAGCTGGGATACTCGTCGCCCGTTGAGGCAGACCAAGTTGTAGGTTCTTTAAACATACACAAACCCAATATTTTTATTTATTTTTTAACAAGCTTGCGTTTGCCTACTACGAGAAATCACAGCGCACCTGGTCACAGACAAACGCGAATGTACACCAGCCCTGAGTGCGGATGTCATGCGTACCGTGTGTTAGTAAATAGGTGTTACAGGAGTCATGCACTGTACCACTCTAATGCTCTTGTGTTTTTGTTTTGTTTTTTTCATTTTGGCGCAGATTAAAGGCTTCGGCAGCATACAAACCATAGTATATGGTGTGCCCCCTCCCATCGTGGCTCCTCCGCTGCCTGTGCCCAATTTTGGTTGCAACGTAAAGGGAGCGCAGTGCCTCCAGTACGGTGGCCTGCAGCAGGGTAGCCTGCAGCAGGGTCGCCTGCAGCAGGGTCGCCTGCAACAGAGTGGCCTCCAGCAAGTTGGCCTGCAGCAGGGTCGCCTGCAACAGAGTGGCCTCCAGCAGGTTGGCCTGCAGCAGGGTCGCCTGCAACAAAGTGGCCTGCAGCAGGTTGGCCTGCAGCAGGGTCGCCTGCAACAGAGTGGCCTGCAGCAGGTTGGCCTGCAGCAGGGTGGCCTCCAGTATCCAGGAGCGTATGGGGGCTTCGCGGGAAAAGGCTTCAGTGGCGGCTCCAAGGGAGGCTACATCAGCGACGTCAAGGGCGGTTACCCCGGCGGCATCAAAAGAGGCTACATCAGCGACGTCAAGGGCGGTTACTCCAGCGGCATCAAAGGAGGCTACTTTCAAGGACCTGCGTTCGGTGACTACGTAAAAAGCGGGGGCACCCAGAAAGGCTACATCAGCGGCGTCAAGGGCGGTTACTCTGGCGGCATCAAAGAAGGCTACGCTCAAGGACCTGCGTTCGGTGGCTACGTAGGAGGCGGTGCTGGAGGAGGCATTACCGGTGGCTACGTCGGAGGCGGCGGCATAGGACAAGGAATATCTGGTGGATACGTCGGAGGTAGGGGCGTTGGACAAGGCATATCCGGTGGCTACGTGGGGGGAGCTGGCATCAAAGGAGCCGGTATCAAAGGAGGCGTGCCCGGTGGCTACATGGGGGGAGGCCAATCCGGTATCTACGTGAAAGGAGCCGGTATCAAAGGAGGCGTGCCCGGTGGCTACATGGGAGGAGGCCAATCCGGTATCTACGTGAAAGGAAGCGGTGTCAAAGGAGGCGCGTTCGGTGGCTTCATGGGTGGTGGCGGCATTGGGGGAGGCTACGTTGGTAGCGGTCTAGGAGGCGGTGGCTACGTAGGTGGTGGTGGCGTCGGCGGAGGCTTCGTTGGAGGCGGTACCGGGGGCGCATCCGGTGGCTTCGTAAAGGGCGGTATGCAACAAACGTACACAAAAGAGGTGCCCTTGAGCAAGTTCTAGAATACTGCGGTGAACAGACATGGATTTTCGAATAAAGCATGGGTGGGAAACGACGAGCTCGAAGAGCATTTCGTGTCGCACTTTTTTGTTCCCGGATCTGTAATTCTGTTATCGATTTCGACACTTGGGGCCCTAAACTCGTGAAGAGCAAAGTTGGAGCCGAAAGTTCGCGGAGCGCGCCGATTGGATCTCGGCGAAAAAAGCGCGAAGTCATCGTCGTGATAGGCCATTCGGTGCGCTCCGTCAACTTCGGCCCCAACTTTGCGTTTTACGAGTTCAGCGATCCTGGACTCATTTCAATTGCTGGGCGAAGAATAACGGTTGACATTATGCGAAGGACATGCTATTTTACAACACAATCTGTGTTGCATATCTTTGCACTTTTTTATATTCTCTACGAACATTACATCAGAGGTTAACAAAAGAACCTATGTAGCTGGCACAGCTCAACTTCCTGCTAAAGCGGCAAGACTGCTGCACTAGAAACAGCCCCTTATCCCGCTCTTATTACTGCTGGGAAATAAAAATGAAAGACGTTTACAACTCCCTGTAATGCCGAATTATAGCGCATCTCTTGAGGACGAGGAGGGGAGTGTACAGAGGGGACGGTATGCCCTTCCTCCTCATCCGTACCCTCTCCTCTTCCCTCGTCATCTACTCCTCCCGTGCTCCTTGCCTCCTCCCTCTTCCTCCTCCATCCTCCTCCTCTCTCTCTCCTCCCCCACCCCCTCCTCATCCCTCCCTCCCGCGCGGTGCATTATGGGACGTTTCCCATAATGCACCGCGCGGTTACGCCAAGAACGACGGCGCGCCGCCGACGCGTTACGGTTACGGTGACGCTGACGCGTTGTCGGTTACGGCGACGCCGACGCGTCACGCCGATGCATTACGCCGACGCGTTACGACGGCGACGCCGACGCGTTACGGTTTCGGCGACGCCAGCGCGTCACGCCGATGCATTACGCCGACGCGTTACGGTTACGGCGACGCCGACGCGTCACGCCTATGCATTACACTGACGCGTTACAGTTACGTCAATGGCGACGCCGACGCGTTACGGTTACGCCGACGGCGACGCAGACGGCGAAAGCGACACCGACGCCGCTCAAGCCGGAAACGGGTGCCAAAGAGCTGAGCTCTAAAGGTGCTTTTATTCCACCCAAATATGCAGTGGCGTACCAACTTGTTTTCAAGGGGGGGGGGGGGGGGGGGCAAATTAACCCCCCCCCTTCCCCCGGGTCGCATATTTTTACTATTTTAAAAGTGATGGACCGAACTTTTGCCGAATTTTGCCGAACTTTTCTGAAGATTCGGCACAGATTCGGCAAAAATACTGTTAACAGGTTTAACGTTGATATTTAGTCTTTTCTTACGAAAAAAATTTTTTTTTCTTAACTTAAGTACAACATGTAGTGCCTATTGAAACAGTTATTACTAAATAAGGTAATAATCTGCAAGATAATTGTATCGGTGTCGCTTTTGTGTGCTTACTTGCAATTTTAGTGCCTGCTTCCAGAAAGTGGCGTGACAACGAGGTTGGGTATAGTAGCCGGCGCAGTCATGAATCACGCTGAGAGTTTTGATTTTGAGACTTCATCAGCGCACGATGGTGCGGGGCTAGGCAGATAGGTGAAAACTCTTACGCAGAGCGCCTGCCAGGCCGCCACCACATGTGAAAAAACGAAACCGGTTTATAAATGTACAGAATATACACACTACAGAAAGTGCGTAAAAAGGAAAGAAAAGTAGGGTGAAAACATATATCACATTATGACGAGGATGCCAGCTGCATCCCATATATTCTGGCAAGCTCTCGTGACTCTGCCCCGTTTGACGGCAGTGAGCTGCGAGCACTGAGCTTAATTGTCCAGTTGTCAGTCAAAGTTTCGACTATACATCGTTTCAACAATGGAAAGGTAAATGAAAATCACGTTATCCGGAATGCACCGCATCATCTGTCACTTCCGCAGTGGACTGCGTAAATTACTGGTCGATCATCTGCTCTTGAGGCAAAAAATATTGAAGAGAACCATACTCGCAAAAGCTCACAAACGCACAGTTACCGCGTCGCCTATTCCACACCACGCCGTAACCGCTGGCTGTACTAAACCGTACGATGGTAACCGCGCGACTGCGCGGCGTCCATCTGCAATCTATGGCCTCGTGGCGTTCGTGCGCGTGCGCAGACATTTGCCGAATTTTTGCCGAACCTTTGGCGAACTTTCCTTGTAGATTTCGGCATGTACGGAACTTTGCCGAATCTGAAGTTCGGAAGGTTCGGTCCATCGCTTACTTTTACGATGCAGGTGATAGACCCCCTAGCAACGACGCTCATGCCGGATTGGCTGCATGCTCGGCAACGCGCGTAAACTTAAAAATTGGATTCGGACGACGCGTGTATCACTCAAAGGGCGTTAACCCCCTCCCTCCCTCCCTCCCCCCCCCCCCCCCCCCGCCCACGTCCACGCCGCTTCGCGGCCACAGCGTGCGGCTGCTAATTACAAAACTATCAACCCACTTAGTACCCCCCCCCCCCCCCCCCTTTTCTACCCCCGTACACACCGCTTTGGAGCCGGCAACCCAAGCCCCGCTGTCCCCCATACAAATCTGTAAATAGAGTCCCATGCGATTTAGTTCAGCGCGTCGATAACATTCATTTTCTCTTTTTTTTTTCAGTGTTAATCGTAAAAACGAAATGTCGTAAATATCACCAAACGCCCCGACAAAACAAAATGTTCGAGGAAAAAAAAAAAAAGTAAACCCACACCGTGGACAGAACCCGGGTCTGCTACGTATGAGGCAGACATCTTACAACTAAGTTACTCTCTTGCTTTGGAAACTCGCATTGTAACCACTGCCTATGTTGACGGCGGCAGCGCCTATCTCTACGAACCAGCCAATCCGGCCTGAGTGCCGTTTCTAAGGTTTTTTATCGCCTGCGCGTTAAAAATATGCCCCCCCGTTTCGAGGGGCCGGTGCCCTTGGTATTCCTTGGGCGCCGCCGGCCGGTATTTGCCCTGCCCACTGGCGGCTGTTTCAAGGAGGGGGCAAAACACATGCCTTGCCCCCCTACTCTGAGAACTGGGAAAACAAGCGCCCCCTTGCCCCTCCCCCCCCCCCCCCCCCCCCTCCACCGGGTTGGTACGCTCATGCAAATATGTTACGAAAAATATGTTACGCGTTTCCTTTCCTAGAAATTTCTTATCTGTTACATCTTCAGGAACAAAAAAATGCAAATAATGGGTTACTTATACCAGCAGCGAGTCCCACAACCCAATGTTTTAGTTGTCGCTGTCGTCAATGCGATTAATCTAATGGTCCTTATATGTGAACCGGCGACGACACACCACAGTCAGAGCGATGGCCTAGTTCCTACGCATTACTCGAATTAAAATCGTCATCAGACGGACTAAGTTGACAAAAAGCGACTCCGTAAATAAAGGTGCTGTCACGCTAAACAAGACACCGTAGGTATGTGTTTATTTATGTTCAAAAAGATAGAAATCCTACCACATCAATAATGTGACACTCAGGGCCATGAAGTCCACGTCACGGCACGCAATCCTCACATCTAAGAAATCACACTTACCCGAACGAATTTTGAAGCACTTTCAGCCAGAGCCTGAACGATTCTAGTATTTACCTGTTCCCATATTGGGGCGCGATGGTTCAACGACCGGGATACGAGAAAGAAACCGCTGATGATGAAAGCGGTCAGAGGTATTTTATTGAACAAAACATTTTCGAAGCAAGGCTGTCTTTCAGTTTATTTTAATGATTTAAGCACCCAATACCTGTGATCTACATTATACTGATGTGGAGCTACGATTGGACGTCGGCACTATACGTCATCGTACTGCGGTACATTGATAGCCAATCGGTGAACTGCATGTGTCAAAAGGGGTGCGCGTTGAAGTGACGGGAAATGCTTTATAAAGGAGTTCTGGCGTACCATCACTGGAAGACACACGACTCGGTACCAGTGAAAGCTAGTTCTCCCGCGCACGCTTGCCTTTCGTAGGAAAAGATGCAACTGCAGAAACTAGTTTTTACACTGTACCTCGTAGCCACTGTGGCTACAAAGACAACCAATGATGAGTGCCCTTTCTGGAAGGAGATTGTTCAGTTTCCTCCGTTCATGGACTACGTAGTTGAGTTCGCCAAGATGGGGCGTGTTGACATTGCTGTGCCTCCAGAATTCGGAATGGAGGAGTCACTTCACCTGACCTGGTTCCTCAAAAAAGCGCCCATTTCCAGCAGAATCCTGAGCACATCCCAAACACTCTGTGCCTCCTGGAAGTGTCAAGCGGTGGAGAATGACCGCTACGTCGTGCTCATTCCAGTCTGCAAGTCGACGCAGTGGAGACTAAAATACGACGTAGTCTCTACTCATTACGTGATATACGTGTACGTTGTTTGCACGGACCTGAAGATTCCTACCGACGTTGACTGGAACTTCATGGTGACCCCCCTCGACCAACTTCGGTTCAACCAAGGGAGTGGTGTATTCGTATTTTCTCGTAGAAATCGTAAAATCTGGCTGACCGAAAATCAGAAGGTCAAGTGCCTCAACTGCAGGCGGAAGGTGGATCCCCGTGAGCTCTTCAAGGACAAACCTCTTCGGAACAGCAAGATAACTGTTTTGTGCCGCCATCCCAACTTTTGCGAGAGTCACAAAATCGGGGCCCTGGAAAAGGTAATAGTTCACAGGAACGCTTCATTCCAAACCGTCCCTATCTTTAACTACGGCGAAAAAAAGAACATTTTCCTGTCTCTGAAAGCCTTGAGAGATCCAACCATGCTCTTGTACTCGCCCTCGTTTGCAGATAGGCTGCCTTTGTTCCCCAACTTGTACGCCCCCTGCTCCTACGAAAGCATTGGTTTTGTCTATTTTGTGAAGAACCGAGTTCCTTTGCCGAGAGAAATGGTACTTCTTTTGCCTTTTACTGCGGGCGTCTGGCTTGCCCTTTTTGGATCCCTTACTGTATGCGTTCTGGTAA